ATGCCACGTACACAATCGAAGCAAGTACTTGCCGTAAGCGAAACGCGCAGTAGCAGCGAAGTCCTAAATCCATGTGTGCATTGTTCAGCCTCACATCATTTGTCAAAGTGTGACTCGTATCTGAGTAAAAGTGTTGGGCAGAGGTGGGAAATAGTGAAGGAACAAAAATTGTGTTTCTCCTGTCTTATTAAAGGTCACGGCATGTATCAGTGTAAAAGGAAGCGCGCATGTATGGTGGAAGACTGCAAGAAATTGCACCACTCTACATTACATGAAACCGGTGTCACTGTGCATGAGCCACCAAGAGCGAAAGAAAATAGCGCTCAGCAGGTAAACACTGTACAAACACGCAAGTATGACCATAAAGCAACAACAATTTTGTACAAGATATTGCCAATTGAGCTGCGAGGTGCAAATAATCAAATTATTAAAACATTTGCCTTAAGTTCTGAACACATTGAAAACGACGAGCTACCGACCACAGCTTCCAATTTGTCATCTTTATTATCTAAGCGCTTTGTCGATAGCAACATTATTTCTTTGAACGTGGCAGCGACATCATGAATTTGTATGAGTTTGACATAAAAGAAGAGGAAGAACCTTATCTGTCGACAGAAAAATATAAGTAGATCTAATCTGGCCACAACCACAGCCGCCGCGTAGCCCGGTCGTCGCCAAAATAATTATCTACATAAGAGTACGTGTTAAAATAATTTGACAGCTGTGGTTTGTAGCTCGTCGTTTTCATTGTGTTCGGGCTATTAATCGATGAAGGTTCGTCATGCACGCTCATCAAAGAAGCAGTAGCCGGTCAGTTGGGAATGTCTGGCCAAAGCACTCCACTGTCTCTGCAATGGTTTGGTGGAAGAGAGACCAAACTCAAGTCTATGAGATTGGAAGTGCAAATAAAAGGAACTAGTCACAAAGCCAAGTGGCACAAGCTGAATGCACGAACTGTTCCAAGCCTTGATTTGCCAATGCAAACAGTCACATTTGCTGAACTATACTCGAGGTATCGCCAAATTAAACATCTTCCAATAGTTGATTATACTGATGCAGAGCCAACAGTCCTAATTGGATTGGATAATTGCCATATTACAGCCAGCTTGAGGAGTATCCAATGTGAAAATTCGATTGTTGCAGTAAAAACCTCAGTATATCCAGTAAACAAACTTAGCTACTTTTTTCACCAAGTTTGGTCCCCATAAAGGACTAGTGTTGCAAGCAACGCTTTTTCGGCAATTAGGGTGTTGTGCAGCTATTTAATGTGGTGAAAATTATTTAAGCACTGGAGAGATTTATTCACATGGAATTGGAGATAGGGCTGATAGATTTATTTTAAATAAATTGTGAATCTGCGAAAATATCTTTTCAGCAGATGAATATACTTTTTAACCTTTCTCCCGAAAATTTACATACAGGCTCGAAAATATGCTAGTAACATTCAAATATCGTCGCTTGGATGGAAAATTGCCGGAAGCGTCATTTTGTCAATTTGTGGTTTTTGGATATCTTCTTTAGCTTCCGAGTAATTGACTAAAAGTTTTCGGTTATTTGGTACAAATTGCGTTAGTATTGCTGTCGTACTAAACTAATCAAGATTTTTCAAATAGAGTTATCTGTTCTTCTTTAGTTTCCGACATATTCAGCTTTATCATGAGTTTCATTTTCTAGAACCGGGTCACTTTTTCACTTTTAGTTTGCGTGTATTCACTACAGGTGGATGAAAAAATTGTTGGCGAAATTTGGTTCGGGCGAAACTCACGATTAGGCTGACTAGTAAAAAATATCGCTAATTTATAAAAATTGTTATCACATTTCGGCGTATATCATTGAAACTGACTGCAAATTTTTGACAAATGCCGTATACGACAAAATTTTATTAAACTCATAAATGGTTGAAACTAAACTAAAAAAATAAGATAATTTAAGAATTTCATGAACTACTCTCCGACACTTGGGAGAAAATCTGTAGTCTAGTTTCTGAGAAATTNCTCAGTATATCCAGTAAACAAACTTAGCTACTTTTTTCACCAAGTTTGGTCCCCATAAAGGACTAGTGTTGCAAGCAACGCTTTTTCGGCAATTAGGGTGTTGTGCAGCTATTTAATGTGGTGAAAATTATTTAAGCACTGGAGAGATTTATTCACATGGAATTGGAGATAGGGCTGATAGATTTATTTTAAATAAATTGTGAATCTGCGAAAATATCTTTTCAGCAGATGAATATACTTTTTAACCTTTCTCCCGAAAATTTACATACAGGCTCGAAAATATGCTAGTAACATTCAAATATCGTCGCTTGGATGGAAAATTGCCGGAAGCGTCATTTTGACAATTTGTGGTTTTTGGATATCTTCTTTAGCTTCCGAGTAATTGACTAAAAGTTTTCGGTTATTTGGTACAAATTGCGTTAGTATTGCTGTCGTACTAAACTAATCAAGATTTTTCAAATAGAGTTATCTGTTCTTCTTTAGTTTCCGACATATTCAGCTTTATCATGAGTTTCATTTTCTAGAACCGGGTCACTTTTTCACTTTTAGTTTGCGTGTATTCACTACAGGTGGATGAAAAAATTGTTGGCGAAATTTGGTTCGGGCGAAACTCACGATTAGGCTGACTAGTAAAAAATATCGCTAATTTATAAAAATTGTTATCACATTTCGGCGTATATCATTGAAACTGACTGCAAATTTTTGACAAATGCCGTATACGACAAAATTTTATTAAACTCATAAATGGTTGAAACTAAACTAAAAAAATAAGATAATTTAAGAATTTCATGAACTACTCTCCGACACTTGGGAGAAAATCTGTAGTCTAGTTTCTGAGAAATTGCATTCCAAACTTCAATCGTGAGTTACCGAAAGTAACTTGTGACAATCTTT